AGTTCATAATGGTTTTATATATTTCAATGCACCACTAATGATTCGTCAACCAAAAATACCAACCAGCCTAGCCACAAAGTATTATGTAGATGAAGCAACAAAAAAAATATGGTATGGGGGTTTATTAGCTCCTAATAACTCTTCACAAGTATTATGGTATGCTAATGCTTCTGCAGACCACACCAGCAAAGTCCATCAAAGTTCTCATTTAGATTTCACAGTCGATCCAAAAGATAAAACTGGTATAATCATAAAAAATGCTGGATTAATACACTAATGGTCAGTGATGGTTTCAATTCTCCAATAGCTGGATTTTTAAATTGAATAAAAATGAATTCACAACTACTAATCATATAAAAATGCCAATTTTAAAAACTACAGGTTGGACTAATCTAACATTCCCCATTAATTTATACTTTCAAAATAACACAACTTTAAAAATTGCTGCAAGTCCCTCATGTATAAAATTAGATGGAAAGCCGAATTATAGTTATTTCATTATGGCGAAACTAGATTAATATATCCAAATATATATGAAACAAAGAAGTATATTCAATTGGAGTCACATATCAGACAAACTAACTAAAGACCAAATTGATGAATTAAAAAATTGATATAAATTCTATCACAAGAAATATTGGACATTTTAAAATAATGCATAAAATCATGAATAGGAAACATATCATTGGTCAAGTAACATCCATTGGATTGGTTGCTACTGGAACCATCGTTGGTGGTGTAACACTAAACCCAATTATCCTTGGTATTGTGTCTGGATCAGGAATAATATTAAAAACCTTCTTGGAATTAAAGAATTATTAGAAAAATATCGAGATGTGCAAATTTGCTTTCACATCCTATGAAAAGATAGTAACTGAAATATTGAGGTCATGTTTGAGAGGGCTTCAATTTGATGAGCATGTGTTTTTAAATCATGTTAAAGTTATCGATGAATTGATAATAGACATGTGCCCATTAGCAGACAAATATTCTAAAAAATATGATTCTAAATTTGCTGATTA